CCTGGGAGGCCCAGCGGAGGTACGTCTACGCAGACACTTTGAGGCCTCCCTGTCCCCTGCGGGGCTGCGATCTGCGCAACTGTCGCCACTTTCGTGGGTTCCTGGGAGGCCCAGCGGAGGTACGTCTTACGCAGACCACTTTGAGGCCTCCCTGTCCCCTGCGGGGCTGCGATCTGCGCAACTGTCGCCACTTTCGTGGGTTCCTGGGAGGCCCAGCGGAGGTACGTCTTACGCAGACACTTTGAGGCCTCCCTGTCCCCTGCGGGGCTGCGATCTGCGCAACTGTCGCCACTTTCGTGGGTTCCTGGGAGGCCCAGCGGAGGTACGTCTACGCAGACCACTTTGAGGCCTCCCTGTCCCCTGCGGGGCTGCGATCTGCGCAACTGTCGCCACTTTCGTGGGTTCCTGGGAGGCCCAGCGGAGGTACGTCTTACGCAGACCACTTTGAGGCCTCCCTGTCCCCCGGGGGGGGCTGCGATCTGCGCAACTGTCGCCACTTCGTGGGCTCCTGGGAGGCCCAGCGGAGGTACGTCTTACGCAGACCACTTTGAGGCCTCCCTGTCCCCTGCGGGGCTGCGATCTGCGCAACTGTCGCCACTTTCGTGGGTTCCTGGGAGGCCCAGCAGAGGTACGTCTTACGCAGACCACTTTGAGGCCTCCCTGTCCCTTGCGGGGCTGCCTGCGCAACTGTCGCCACTTTCGCCTGGGACCCAGCGGAGGCACGTGGACCACTTTGAGGCCTCCCTGCCCTCCCCTTGGCGCACCTGGCGCGCACCTGGCGCGCACCTGGCGCGCTGGGCGCACCTGACGCACCTGACGCGCTGGACGCACCTGGCGCGCACCTGGCACACCTGGCGCACCTTTCGCACCTGGCGCACCTGGCGCGCACCTGGCGCGCACCTGGCGCGCACCTGGCGCGCACCTGGCGCGCTGGGCGCACCTGGCGCACCTGACGTGCTGGGCGCACCTGGCGCGCACCTGGCGCACCTGGCGCGCTGGGCGCACCTGACGCACCTGCCGCACCTGGCGCACCTGGCGCACCGGGCGCGCCTGGCGCGCCTGGTGCAACTGGCGCACCTGGCGCACCTGGCGCGCACCTGGCGCACATCTGGCACACCTGGTGCATCTGGCGCACCTGGCGCACCTGGCGCGCTGGGCGCACCTGGCGCACCTGCCACACCTAGCGCGCTGAGCGCACCTGGCGCGCCTGGTGCACCTGGCGCACCTGGCGCACCTGGCGCACCTGGCGCACCTGGCGCACCTGGCGCACATGTCGCACCTGGCTCACTTGGCGCGCCTGGCGCAACTGGCGGCCCTGGCACACCTGGCGCAACTGGCGCACCTGGCGCACCTGGCGCGCACCTGGCGCACACGTGGCGCACACCTGGCGCAACTGGCGCACCTGGCGCGCGCTTGGCGCGCACCTGGCGCGCACCTGGCGCGCACCTGACGCGCTGGGCGCACCTGGCGCACATGGCGCGCTGGGAGCACCTGGCGCGCACCTGGTGCACCTGGCGCGCTGGGCGCACCTGACGCACCTGGCACACCTGGCGCACCTGGCGCACCTGGCGCGCCTGGCGCGCATGGCGCAACTGTCGCGCCTGGCGCAACTGGCGCACCTGGCGCGCCTGGCGCGCCTGGCGCGCACCTGGCGCACACCTGGCGCACCTGGCGCACCTTGCGCATCTGGCGCACCTGGTGCACCTGGCACACCTGGCGCACCTGGCGCACCTGGCGCACCTGGCGCGCTAGGCGCACCTGGCGCACACCTGGCGCACACCTGGCGCACCTGGCTCACTTGGCGCGCCTGGCGCGCCTAGCGCACCTGGCGTACCTGGCGCAGCTGGCGCACCCGGCACACCTGGCGCGCTGAGCTCACCTGGCGCACCTGGCACACCGGGCGCACGCACACCTGGCGCACACTTGGCGCACCTGGCGCGCCAGGCGCATCTGGCGCACCTGGCGCGCCTGGCGCGCCTGGCGCACCTGGCGCACCTGGCGCACCGGGCGCACCTGGCGCACCTGGCGCACCTGGCGCACCTGGCGCACTTGGCGCACCTGGCGCGCCTGGCGCGCTTGGCTCACCTGGCGCGCATGGGCTTCTGGGAGGCTCAGCGGAGGTACGTCCTACGCAGATCACCACTATACCATGGCGCCGACATGTCCTTCGGTATTGAGTGGTCCTGAATGCAATTGCCACTTGTGTAGAAAGGGTTGGGTACGTCGCAGGATGATTTTCTTAGGCTTTCGCTGGGAAGTCAAAGTTTCACGCACGGAACAGGAGGGCCTCGTTCCTGATTCAGGGTTCCTTAGGTCAACGCCCGGACTGTACCTGTCCACGGGACCTGTGACCGTCGGCGAAGGGGCCCATGTCCGTGACCTGAATTGCAGTGGGGACCCATGCCAAGAAGCACCCTGCTTGCCTCCAGGGTGCCCTGGGTTTCCTGGGTGTCGATGGTCTTGCTGTGGAAGGCGCGACGTCCCCACGCCAGAAATCCATGGGCGTCCTGGGGTCTCAGGGTTGGGTTTCTTGTGGAAGGTTTCTTCTGGACTGGCCTCCACTGTATTCTGGCTATGTTTCGATTGTACTTGTTTACTTGCGGGCATCGCGCTCATACCTCTTCGTTGCTAGTTCCTGGCGAAGCATCATCTCCCCCTCCCTCAGTATCTTTCCTGCGTCTGCGGCTCTTCCCAGGCTCTTTGCCGTCAGTCCTGCTCCAGCGTGCCGAATCGCTAGTCTCAGAATGCCAGGCCGCCACGGACCAGGGGTCGGGGCGCCG